TTTAACACAACTCACGCTTTCTTTGTGCTTATAGTCTCCTGACATCCTTTTGTCTATCTTTTTATTCTTAACCTTTGCTCTTTACAGTAAGTGGGTTTGTTATAAATAACATATAAGTAGATTTTGTGTTTTAACCCAATCTACCAGTTTCTGTATTTAAACAAAAGAATTTGGCCATTCACATTTAGTGTAATGAGTGATGGTTAATTTTTCGGTTACTATTTTTCTGTTACTATTTACTAACATTGTTCCTGTTTTCCTTATTTTTGCTGGTTTAATCAAACTTATTCCAGTTTTTCCTCTGTGAATGTGAGAGTTCTACACTGCTTCTATTCATAGTTTCTCTCTGTGTTCAAATTCAGATACATAATTTTATCTTTTTACTTTTTTGGGGGGTGAGGGGTTTGGCTTTCTGAGCCAGGGTCTTGCTATGTAGCCCAGGCTGGCCTCAAACTCCAGGCCATCGTCCTGCCCTAGCCTATCACGTGCTAGGATTACAAGCGTGTGCCTCTCTATCTTTTTACCTTAAACAACACAATACCAACTACTACTTCCTTCACCACCAGATGCTCTCCCCTACCTCTCCCCCACCTCTCCCCAGGAAGGCCAGCCCTTTAGAACACCCTCATTTCTTCCTCTCTACCCTGGATGTCTTTACCAACAAAAGCTTCCTCACCCACAACCCCATTCCTGAGATGCAGACTACTTGAAGCTGCAGATGATGACCAGAATTTTCCTTGTGGAATGCTCATCCTAGCTCAAGAGTCTCATTCACCATTTAAACCTGGGGGTTGGCAGACGACAGCCAGGGGGTCAAATTCTGCCTGCTACTTGTTTTTTTGTTTTTGTTTTTTTTTCCATACTGGGGATCAAACTCAGGACCTTGAGCTTGCGAGTCAGGTGAGGTGCCACTGAGCTAAATCTCCGACCCCTGCCACTTGTTTTTGTATGAATTCTGAGCTAAGAGTGGTCCTCAGATTTTCTAATGGGTTGAACAATGTCTTTTAAAGAGTATTTCATGACATGTAAAAACAATATGAAATTCAAATTTTAGTGTTCGTAAAAAAAGTTTTACTGGATAGTGCCACATATTTATGTACTATCTGGGTTTCTTTTGTGCACAGTGGCAGAGCTGAGTGGCAGAGACAGACGGAGAGAGGGAGGGTGGAGCTTGGGAACTGTGAGCGACGGCAATGTTGTTTGACTTTGAGGCATCTCACCCAAGCACAGTGCTGTCCTTCATTACCACTGCACACCTGTCACATCAAAAGTAAGGGCAAGAATGGGGCACCTCCAACGTCACACTGTCAAGGCTCAGTGGGACATGGATTCTGGTTTTAGAGACTCACAGGGCAGAGCACAGTGTTGTTATTAGCTGAGCTAACAGAATACAACATACACTGACATCACAATATTCCCAACTCACAGAAACACAATGGTCAGAAAAATGGGAAAACTTATAACAGTGTATCTCATCATTGCAGACACAAACATTTAGAAGTGAGAATCGGGCTGCAAGCCCAAGTAAGTTTCTGAGTGGCTCATTTGTTGGCTGAGCAAGGAAAGCCATTTACCAGGGTAAGTTAATTAAATTGTGTTTGATTGCAGCAGTTGGAAAAGTATCCAGAGAAAATAAGCTCATTGAAGATTATTAGATTTGGGGAAAGAACAGTTAGTTGCTCAGGCGTGGCCCATGGGCCATCATCTGGTCTGTGAAATGCCAATGAGTCTAGCCGCATCTGGTGGACACAGAACATGTCATGGCGAGAGGCGCAAAGCAGGGCACAGGTCCTGGAGGACACGACAGGGGGCTGGAGAGGCGGCACTGTCTCCATGCCAAGTGCTGTCCTCAGCAGCATATATTTACAGCACCCTTTTCTTTTTTTTCTAGACATTACTACCAGAAGCAACAACTTACTGTTCATTATCCACCTCTGCTGTGAGCACAAGAACTTTGTCTCTCTTGTATTTGCAGTGCCTGGCATCAATGGGAGCTCAATAACCACCTGACTACAAGTGAAAGGAGCCTTTTTCCACACAACAGGTGCAGAAGGCCTGTGCCTAGGCTGAGCCAGGTGCACCCTCCTCCATCATGAACTGAGGATAGCTCAAGAGCCGGGGCCTAAGCTGGCTGTGCTCACAGAGCAGAGTGGGCTGGGAGCTGCTGGCAACCCAACCTCCCAGACCCCTCTCTGCACAGAGGTGTGCCCAGGGAGTTAGTTGGGGCCGTGGTGCAACCCAGGAACTTCTAGAGACACCAGGCACACCAGGAAAGATGAGCCAGGACAGCCACACCCAGTGCCAGCCTGATATTCAGCCCTGCCCACTCCCAGCAGCCTCAGGTGATCCTGATGGCCCCTCTGCTTCCCAGGGATAACAGGGCCTCAGGAAAGGGAGATCCAAGCCCCAGAATCTACTGTTGTGACCCTTAGGTTTAAAAATTGGTAATAATAGAATTAAGCACATAATAGGAGACAAATATGGATCTTGGGCCCTTACATCCAAGCCCATTTCACCTTCCCCTCACCGCCCAGTGCAGCACAGAAAAACAGGTCCAGGAGCAGTGAGTCCTACAACCTGCCCAGGTTTCCATGGAGAGGTGGGGATGTTTGACCCAGTTGGCCACACTGATCTGAAGCTCTCTGGGCCACCTGGGCCTGCTCAGAGCAAACAGGGCCACCCCAGAGCCATGAGCCTGCTACCCGAGAGCCTTGCTGGGAAGTCTCCCCTCTGAGGTGGGAAGTCACCTAAGCAAGAGACAGTGCCAGACATATGAAGCTGCCTGTCTGCCTTGGGATGAATGAGTGGACGGAGGTGAGGTGGCTGCTCAAGGCACATACATAGCTGATACCTGGTTCAGGGAGGCTTTGAGCCTACACTGTGGGACTCTGAATTCGATGCCTTACCAACCTCACCAGAAAGAAAGTTCTCCACCAAGGAGACCCCAGCTTCTCAAGGACAAAATCTCTTGACACGCTGGGCAAGGTTTTGCCTGATACAGTGGAAAGACAGCACCCCAGAGGTCGTCAGTGCCTTGGTCACCTTATGACCTGGACAACTCACTTCACACCTCCTGGGCTTCTCTTCAGTCTGGCTGCCTGTGAGGTGGGGACCTGGTGGCCTAGGCTCAAAGCAGGAAGATGATTTACTTTCACTGAATTTCTCTCTGTTGAGTTCAAATTTTCTGTGTGCATTTATAATTGTAGGGGGAAGTGACAAATTGGAAAAATATATACATCTGAAAAGTAATCCCCTCCTCAGAGTATTATAAGGGTTAAAAATAATGCATGCAAGACTGGGAGTGTAGCTCAGTGATAGAATTCTTGCCTAGCACTTGTGAGGCCCTGGATGTAATCCCTAATACTGATAAAAGGTGTGTAGCTCAAAAAGGCACCCAGTAGGTACTTAATACATACAGTGGGGAAGCAGGGGAGGTGGGGGGTAGGAGGTCTGCTTATTCCTTCCCCCGGCCCAGAGGGGAACACATGGGCTAGAAGCCACCCCTGGCATCAACTAGGGCCCAAGGGGCTGGGCACCCCTGAGCTTTCCATTCTTGCAGGAGTCTCAGGAACCCCCTCTGTCCTCATGTAGGGCTCACAGCGCCCCAGGCACAAATCCACAGTCCTTCAGGAGGCTGGCCCAGCTGGAGGAAGCCTATGGCCATCAGGGTCACAGACATGGGGTTTGGTCACCAGTTCTGTGAACTGCAAGTCTAGGGCTCGTGGGCCTCCCTGGACTGAGCAGAGAGGGGCTGGGGTCCTTGGTGTCCCCCAGCCCCTCTCCACTGTCTCTGGAGGCCTGGGTCAGTGTGGAAGTCTGTTCAGTTGTTCCTCACAGACACCCTCTCGGCTCTCAAAGGAAGCAGCTTTGCACCGCCACGGCCAGGCTTGAGGGGCAGCTAGACCTGGAGCAGCACCAAGAGGAACATGGAGATTTTACTACAGAATAATTACACTCCACAATGCTGCTAACTGATCAAGCTACACACACGAAGCACACACACTTGATTACCATCTTCAGTCACCATCTTGAGGCTGTGCTGAGGCTAATGGCCCCGGGCAGGCCCCACCTCCTCATGGAGTGTAGGTCCTCGGTCCTGAGGGTGTCGGAGGGATGGGAGAAGAAGAGGATAGGACCCGGGGCAAGAGAAAGCCTCCCTGGACCAGCGGGTGGGGGATCAGAGTCCAGAGAAAGAAACAGGCCAAAGAGGCCCCTGAGTACCCACTCCTGACGGCAGACACTGTGGCAACTGCTGGGGGCTGGGAGGAGGGGCTGCTTCGTGATCCCGTGAGGACAGTAGTGCTTGCTAAAGGTGGACCCTACTGGGGTCTCCAGAGCCCTGGGCTCAGAGTTGACAAAGCCCAGTCAAGTCCCAGGACCACCCACAACCATCCCTGCCCCACTCAAGTCACAGGCAGGGGGCAGTTACAGGGGACGGTGAGGTCTGGTAGGCACAATTCCTGCTCAGAGTGCAGGACAGATAAGCATAGGTGCCCATCAGGAGGTGACTCCAGCTCTCGGGACTGACTGTGTGTCACATCTGTCCTAATGTCAGGCCCGTAAGCTAAATCTGCATCAGGGACAGTGAATTCAAGGGACACCAGCTGTTCAGTGACCACAGCCCCCACCTCTGTGTCACCTTCCTGACATCTCTCCTCTTGCTCTCTGACCCCTTCCCTCACTCTGCAGGAAAGGACAGACCTGGCCTGGTCTGTGCCACAGCAGTGTGCCCTGTGGACATGGGCAGCTGGGGGACACACACGTAGCCTTCCCGCCTGATGAGGTGCAGGGCCACCGAAGGCAGGAGAATTGGGGCTGGGTTGGCTGCCACGTGATACCAGCTGCAAGAGAGGCCAGGCCTGCTGAGCTCTGCCAGGACCCTCACCACAGGGATCAATGGAGGGTGGGGTGCAGGCCCTGGGTCTGGGGGACAGAACAGAGGTCGCCTCACACTGTGGAGGGTGGGACAGGCAGTGGGCCACTGGATAGGGCAAGCTTACCCGCTCCACGAGGCCGTGCTTTTGTTTCAGCTTGTACACCTTCAGCAAGGGCAAGATGCTCTCTGAATAGCCCCTGTCCTCCAGCCCACGCAGCAGCAGCCCGTGGAAGGCCAGCCGGCACGTGTTGGCGTGGATGTCGGCATCCAGCCGGGAGCCGATGACTAGGCTCAGCCGTGGGCAGGTGACGGGCTTCTCAAACTCCACGAGGGCCCACTGCTGCCGGGGGTAGCGGGCCTCTGCAGCCTGACCCGCCTGCTTGTCGGCCTCGTCACTGTCTGCTGCTGCTGGCATTGAGTCCTTGCACAGGTACTGCTCTTGGAAGAGGTATTCTTGGGAGAAGTCAAAGGAGTCCAGCACAGGCTCTCGGTCAAAGCTGTCAGGCGCAGGGCTGAAGAACAACAGGCGGCCCATGACTGTCTCATGGCCCACTGTGATGTGGAACTTGGCCTTGGTTTGCAATGGCCCCCGGAAATATGAGATCTTCTCCACGGAGATGATGGCCGCATGGACGGTATGCAGTGACTCGGGGGCACACACCAGCCCACGCTCCAGCAGCTTGGGGTCAAACTGGGTGACACAGATGCCCAGTCGGTCTCCCTGCATGGCTGAGGTGACGGGTGTGTGGAACATCTGCATGGATTTCACCTTCTTCACCACCTGACCGGGAGCAAGAGGGACAGCATGAAACCAACAGGCCTTGGGGCTGTATTGGCTCTAGCCCAGGACACCCCCGTCCCTGTGCTCCTCCACATTCATCTGGCTCCTGACCTGGGGAGAGGACACAGGGCTGACCAGCTGAAAGGAGGCTACCGGCCACCTGGACTCTTACTGGACAGAACAGGCCTCGCCCTGAGGACCGCCACCAAGGAAGGTCAAGGTCTCACCCTGGGCTGCCTTTGTCCCTCCATCCTCCTGCTCCCCACTCTGTCCAGGTTCCTGTCCCTCCCACTTCCCTAGCCTTCTGCACAGGCACTGCTGCCCAGCCCAGCCTCCTGCATCCCCAGCCTGCCAAGCCGAGCCCTTCCCCTGTAATGCCCAGTTCAGGCCGCTGCTCTGGAAAGCGTGTCCAGGCCCCAGTGGGCAGGTCTTGTCCCTGTCTCCACAGCGGCCCCCCAGCCCTTCTGAAGGATGCACAGCTGGAGGCACGGTCACTGTCCGACCTGCACCTATTGCCTGCCTGCTGGCCGCTAGACTGCAGGGCAGTGGGGTCCCTCTCCAGCTACGCCATGCATATTTCCTCAGGACCTGATACGGGTGTCGAGCCAGCCCCACTCCAGGGGAAGGAACAGAGCAAGCTCAGTTCCCGAGAGCTTAATAGCTAGAAGCTGACAAGGAAGTGATGGTACCTTAATATGGATTTGTATCAGTAACAATCATATAACATGTAGCATATCTAGCATACACCATGAGAAAACAGGACAGGATGTGCCACAGAGCAGGCCTGGGGCCTGGACAGTGCTGGCATCTGCTGATGGAGGTAGGGAGGCCTCTGCAGAGGCAATGTCTGAGCATAAGAAGCAGCAGCTTGTGGAGACCCACAGCAAAAGACTTCGAAGAGGAGAAACCAACAAGGGCCAGGCCTGGAGGCAGGAGAAGTTTGCTAAGGCCAAGAAATAAAGAGGCGGAGGGCTACTGCTAGGGGGAGGTCAAGGCCTGGGTGTCTGTGCAGCCCCAGCAGGGCTGCTCGGAAGTCACCCAAGAGTTTAGGCAAAGGGGTAACTTGATCTCATCTCAGTTTCTGCAAGATAACACTGACAATGGCACCTGGCAGATTTCAGCTTCCATAGCCTGCAAATCAGGAACAGACACAGAAAAGCCCCTAATAAATGCTCAGGAGGTAGATGAACATTACAACTTCGATCTGCTCTCTGAGATGAAATAGCATTTTTACATTTCTTTCTTTCTTTTTTTTTTGGTACCGGGGATCGAACTCAGGTCCTTGTGCTTGCAAGGCAGGTGGCAGAACCATTGAGCTATATCCCCGGCCCACATTTTTACATTTCTGTTTAACAAAGCGGAAAAGTGTAACATATTTCAGAAACCTGCTATCAAAAACTGAAACCAGGGGGCATCCTGATGCTCTGGCTGCCAGCATCCATGCCACACACCCTTTCTCCCGGGTGCAGGCCCAGCACGCTCAGGGGTGCTAGCCAGGGCCTTTTGAGAGCCATCGAGATCCAGTGTTTGTTTAAAGATCATTAATGACCTACCCGAGGGGTCAGAGATCAGGGAAAGTGAGAAGCACAGTGTCAAAAGCCACAGGCAAGATCAATCAAACGGAAACATAAAACATCTCTGAGATGGTCTGTCAAGGCACAGGCACACACGACTTTCAGGAATGTGACACGGAGTGACTGGAAAATATCGCGTTACGCAAAGTGTGTGTGTCGTGGAAGGCAGCCCAAGTCTCCTCCCCCCATCCCCCACCTAAAGTGCATATCTTTGTCACCAACTCCTCTCCCCTATTCTGTCTCCTGAATTTCACACCCTTTGGTCAGAGCTCTTGGGAGCAGGAAGATCCCCGGTCACTTGAGGTTCTACCAGGGCCCCGGGCCCCTTTGCAATCCAGCAGGTCCCCTGCAGAAGGCCTGGGCCCCGCCAGCTTCCAGTGACAGCTTCCTGGTGCCACCTCTTAGGCCACAGCCAGCAGACACTGGGACCAAGTCTGCTCACAGTGCAGTTCTGCCTCTCTGAGGGGTCTCTTGACAGACCCATGTCTGCCCCTAACCCCAGCTCCGTGGCACCTCTGGGAAGGGCTTCCCTGGCCCTCCAGGCCAAGCTGGCCACTCCGACCTAACCTCCCATACAGCCATCGCTGTTTACAGGCCAGCTGTGCCTCTGTCATTACAACACAGTAAACACCCACAAGCTGGTCACGGCTCCAGGGCTTCAAATACTACCCACCACTCACACCTGCCAGTGTGCTCTCCTGCTGTCTGGAGCTGGAGTGCAGCACCCCTTTCTTTTTATACACAGGAGTGTTCAACGTGTAGAGGCTCACAACATACACAGCACATATGCCAGGTCAATAATCTGCTGTGGAGTGGGTTTCTGAGCTCTCTGCATGGAGAACATCGCAGTCGTGACAGGGAAGACACCTGAAGCTCACTGCTGTGGATGAAGCTTAGTACAACCCAGGCTCTATCACCGTGCATGGGGGCATTTCCAGGTCTGCGCTGGGCAACCTCTGATGAATTTGTGCTCCTGAGAACCCCGCTAGTGTGGGCCTGGAACAGTGCTGCAGGGTTGGAGGAGAAGGGTCCAGCTCTGCCAGACAACGAGCTTCTGCCATCTGGGCACACGAGGCCACTGCTACACATCTCCAATGCTTGGCAGTGCGAGACTGACAAATTCATGTCTCTCCTAACCAGAGATGGGGCCAGAGTTCAACCTACTATGTCCTTGGTGCCCACACAGGGCCTGCCCATGAGAAGCTCCACTGCGACAGGCTCCTCTGAAGGGAAAGACCCAAGGCCTGGTGCCAAGCTGGGAGCCCAGCCCTGCTGGGTGGAGCTTGCTCTTGTTTATGAGCCTTCCTGTACCCTCACAGCCGGCCCTACCACACAGCTTTATTCCAAGCATGTCCTCCTGTCGACGGGTCATGTGTTCTCAGGACTGAAATAATAAAGAAGCCTTATGAGGGCACCGTGAAGAGCACAGTGACAAATAACTGTGCAAATCAAGATTTTAAGGACCTAGACAGGAAATTGTGAAGCAGACAGAGATGGGAACAGAATGGCAGGGCACTCCTGTGGGCTCCCATGGGATGTGCAAACAGCATCACCAGAATTCTAGGTGGTCAACCTCCAGACAGGGACATTCAGAAATTAGAAGACTGGTTTAGAATATTATAAATACTGGAAAGCAGATCATTTACCAACCCAAGGATAGGGAAAAGAGACTTCTTTCAGCTTTTTTAAAGTCAACTTTGAGAGATTTTGTCCATCAATTCAATAACTCACTCAGGAAAGGTCCCCCACCAACCATGTGGAGTGGCTGAGACAGAGAACACAGGTCAACACAACACACACTTATTAATTCCTCTGTGCACCAGGCTGGGCAGGGACACAAGGGACTGCAAAGCTTTGTGGTCTCCTGAGTGCACTGCTGGACAGGGACCACAGACACTAATGGAGCCAACTAATAAATACAGAATTACGGAACCATGAGAGGTGCTCTGGGAAAAAAGAGCAGGAGCTATGACAGCGAACAACTGGGGGACCTAATTCATCCTGTGTGGCCGGGGAAGGCTTCCCTGAGGAAGTAGGCTGGAGCCCAGGCCAGGTGGAGGAGGAGGAACCATGCACCGGGACAGAGGGATGAACAGAATGTGCTGAGGGCCCCTGTAGGCTGAAGGGTGGCAGGGCTGGCTGTGGCCAGGGCAGATGATGTTCACCAAGGGAAGGAGCAATGGGGACCTGGGGGTGGAGCTGGGTGTTCACCCAGAATGATGCCTTCTAGTTTGCATCGTTAGATTGCTCCTGCTACACGGAGTGGGAAATAGGAGGAGAAATAATAGAGTAAAGAGGGAAACTGGGAAGGAAGACACTCCCAGAGAGAGCACAGGAAGACTGTGGGTCTCTAGTGGGGACAGAGAAGCAGCAGGGGGTGGAGGGGCACAGAAGCTGCACTCCAGAGAGGGGAGCACACAGACCCTTGGATGGCTCCTCCCATGTCTGGCATCTGACAAATGGCAACTCCATGTCCCCAACACTCAGGTGAAACCAAGGGTCTTGGCCTGCTCTCCTCACCCTCTTGCCACTGTATCTCAGGCACCGGATCCTTGAGGATAGGTCCAGTGCCCGGCCCCTTCCTGCGCCCTTTTCTGAGTGGTCTGGGTTGCTGCCTGGCCTGGATCACTGCCCCTGCTGTTTGCTCTCCAGAGGATGCTGTGACCCCAGGCTAGCTCCCACCTCTGTGACTCACAGGCCCTCACCTAGCCATTGTCATTTCTCTGCATTTGTTATGACCCCTACCCTCACTCCCTGCTGCTCAGGTCACTACTGTCATATGGGCCTTCTTGTTTCCTGTCCCCTAAAGATGCCAGGCACACTCCTGCCCCAGGCCTTTGCACCAGCCAGCTCCTCTGCTGGTGACGATCTTCCCCAGGATACCCATATCTACCCCTGGCTTCCTTCACTTCTCTGCTCCAAAGTCACTTTAGTATGGTCCACCACTGATCTCCCAGACAAAGAGCATCCCACATTGCATCGTTTTTCTGCCTTATTTTTTCTTCATAGCATTGACCAGCACTTGACACATTCCATATTTGTTCACTGGAGGTCACAACCTGCATGAGGACAGGGGCCTTGTTTTCTTTTTCTTTCCCATCTCTTTCCTCTGTGTCCACACCGTGCCAGGCATACAGCAGGTTTCAGCACACAGCTGTGTGTGGATTTAGCACTCGGTACCTCGTCAGGCTCTAGGACTTTGTCCTCCAGGCCGGAGAGCACCTGCACTGCTGGGAGTGGGGGCTGTGGGTGCTGCAGCCTGCTGACTCTGAGGCCAGGCTCCCTGGGCAGCCTGGCTCCCTGCCAGGGGACACAGAGGCCTGGGTGGCAGGTCGAGCAGTGTGAGGAGTGCCTTTTGTGCTCGACTGGGATCCACAGGGAGGTCTGGGCCCTGGACTCAGCTCCTCCCAGCCTCCTGTCTCCAGC